AAGACATTTCCGTGTTAATGGTATTTCTGTTTGTCACATTGTAGTTTTTATATTGTTCTTATAAATTCTTGAACTGGAAAATCGTAAATAACGATTTTTCTATCAAATAAAAGTTAACTACACTTTTTCTTTTACTGATTTCAATGTTTCACATTCTTACCCCTCCCCCTCTACCTATCCAATTTCTACTCTCACCAATCGCATCCTATTCGAATAAAAATTTTTTATTTTATTATTGTATTCTTTTCTTCAACATTATTTTACTATGTATATAGAAGGATTATGAACAAAAAAAAAAAACAAAAAAAAATATAAAATTGGAAGAAAAAAAAAAATACAACAAACATTGAAAACTTTTATTCAAGTTTTATTTTTTTTTAACAAAAAAAATAATTTTTTTTTTGTTTTTTCCTGAAACAATACAATAATATTATAAAATAAAAAGGAATATGCAATCATATAAAGACATAATTTAAGGAATTGACACATTTAAAACAAAAACAAAAAAAAAACTTGATTAAATTGTTAAATATGAAAAACATTTTCTCTTTTTTTTTCGCTCTTATTATTATTTTGTTTGTGTCACAACAAAGCGGAAAGAACGAAGAGAAGAGAGTATCAAAACAGGAACATAAAAATTGAAATTCTCAATTCTTCATAAATTTTTTTTTTTTTGTACTTTTTAAAAGAGTCGTAAAATTAAAAATAACGGAAATATAATAATAAATAATAATTTATCGATAAACGATAAGATTTTAAGAAACAAACATGTTCGAATGGATCTAAAAATATATGGGAAAACAATACTTTTTATAGATCTTGTTTTTGTGCAAATTTAACTTGGACATTGTGGCTATCATAAAAAAATTAAAACTTAACAATTCAAAGTTACATTTCAGAGTTTTGATCGCAGCAAAAGACTGTCAGAGCCACTGATTTTTCTGCAAAAATTCAATTAATTAAATTTTAAATTATAATTCGCCCACTTTACCAATTTTAGCGATTTTTCGTTCAGTGTTTCTCGCTAGCAATTTGTTTTTGATTTTAGCGATTTGTCGTTTAATGGATCAAACTTTTTTCTCTGTCTCTACTCAGAGAATCTGATTTCTACTCAGACTTTATTCCGTGCAGATAATATTTATTGTGCAGAGGATTTTCCGTGACTATGTTTCGTATAATATATGTTTGTGATGTGTAAATTTGTAATCTCAAATTTTGGGCAAGATTATCGAGAATATGTTATTTACCAAAGTAAACCATCACACATCTAATTTACAGCCTGCATTATCATTAATAAATTTTCACGTCTTTCAGTTTTCTTTTATTAACATTGTATTCCTTACTCTATTCCGAAATAGTGTGTGTACAAATCTATTGCTTAAAATTATTCCGAAATAGTTTGTATACAGAAATATCAAAGTCAAGCCATCTACCGGAATGAACCGGATTGCCCCTTTTAATTATACTCTTTCACTTTCTTTTCCAGGATAAACTTTTAAAACAACCACAACCAAAAATAGAAATAGATTACTTAAATTAATTTAATTAAAATCAATTCGGTACTTGTGAAAAGACTTACATTTGCATTTTATTTGAAATTTTCAAAATTAATATCAACAATACCTACTTTGCCATAAATTTCCTGTATGATGCAAAACTTCAAATAGTTCTGTTGTCGCCAAAGAACTTCATTAATACAATTATTTAATTAAGAAGTCTACATAAGTACTACAACGTGGAGCTTATAAAATTTCCTATTTAATATTTTTATGCGTTTTTTCACGCATTGGACAATCCGATGATTTTTAATTTATTCAAACAGGAAAAAACTTAATTTTATAATTTTGCTATTAAATTAAAATTGACGAATGTCGTGTCGCTTATCAAAGGTATACATACTAATTTATGAAAAAAAAAATCCATATGAGAAAAAAAAAATATTAATTATTCATACGTAATAGAAATAAATTCAACTATTGAAAGAAATTAATTGGCATTGAGTATGGAGGAACTATTTTAATGGAAACATAAAATACTATTTCACCATCATAGAAGTAAAACATAAGGAAAAAAAATTCGTGTAAAATGGTAATTAATCGCCTTTTTAATTATTCAATTCGAATTAGAAGCAAAAATTAGTGAAATAAATGGTTTCTTTTGTATTATTCAAATTTTTGTTATATGAATGAGAAAGAACATTCATTATAAAAATTTCAAAAATGACAAATAGGCTCTTTATACGAAAACCATATACATATATACGACTGTGGTGAATAATTTGTTTTAACGTTTTAATTTAGAAAAATGTCAAAATTTTTTATATAAAATGAATTATGCGGATCATTTTGGTGAAAAGAACAAAAATTGTGGTATACTTAAGTGTTATACACTGTTTCGATCTACGAACGTATTATAATTATAGCGTACCATTTTTGAGTGTATAAAATTTTAAACACATTACGCCTAGTAAATGTCGTACAACTTAAAACTGCACCAAACTATAGAGGAGAGCAGTTGATAGAAATAATTAGGCATATTTATTCCAGTAGATGGGTTTCATATTTTCATATACAGAGAAAATAAATGTCTGGACGGAACGTAAGGTATTATAATATAAAACTATAGGAAAACTAATTTCCTATTCGACATGAATAAATTTCTACCCTCATAATTATAATTTAAAAATTAGCTTTGGCAGATATGAAATAGAATAAATTCTGAATTATATGGTAAGCAAAAATTATTTAGTATTTAATTCTACATTTAAAACTAGTAAGAACTCAAAATTTCAAAAAAAAAACCATCTAAATCATGAGAGCTCATTAAGTATATCAAAACAATTAAATAAGGGTCAAATAATTAAATTTTTCAAATTAATGAATATTTTCCATAAAATTATAGGAAAATAAATTAAATTTATTAATTACCTCGTTCAAAAAACAAAAAAAAATTAAATATTCTCCCAAATTAGTCAAATTTTAATTGTCTTTAATTTTCCTAATTGAATAAATATAATATGTGTATAATTGTATAACAATTTTCATTGTACCATTATATACCTAATGTACCTATACATATATATGTATACATCGAAATTGAAAAGCAAACAAATAAAACCTAAATTGGGTTAAGTATGCCGAAAAAAATTTTTTTTTTTATTATGGTTATTTTACCACAAAATTTTTAACTCAATTTAATTTAAAACTCTGTCTCTCTCTAATAGAAAATTATTTCAAATCGTATACAAAAATATCAAAATCAAATAAAAAACAAAATAAAAAAGAAATTCTTTTAAAATTTATTTTTCAATCATGAACATAAACTATGACCATACACCAGATTTGCAATGTACGTTCCAATATTTTACACAAGTATTCATGCTAATTATATTCAATTAATTTAACTATAATAACAAAATAACATTAATTTTTAAATATGAAATTTTCAGAATTTTTTCCATTTTACTACACAAAAATATTATAGAAATTAAAATAATATTAAAATTATTTCGGTTTACTATAGGATACATATAATTGTCATATTATTTATAAAAATTTTTTTTAAACTTCCTTGTAAAATCAAAGTAGAAATAAAATGTAAAGTACCATGAGGTAATAAAGATTTAACGGTATTAAAACCAGTTCATGATAAATCAATTTTCAAAATCAGCTGTCACTTTCATATTCAATAATTATTGCAAATATATCAGATAAATTTCTTAAGCCAAGCATCAATAAATCATGCAAATTAATATTGCACGAAAGAGCCAAAATAATCATTAATTAGACGCAAAGAATACGGCTATCAGATTTCCTAGCAAAATCATCATCATTTGATGAGAAACGAGAAGAAAATGTTGGAGAGTTAGCAAGGATTAGATTTTATTAATATGAGGGACACAAAAATTTTTTGGATAAAACAAAAGAAAATATGAGAGGTACAATACTCGTACTTCTGAGACTTGAGGTGTATATAACCTATAAAGATAATTAAAATTCCTAGAAAGTTCAGACCTCGCATGTTACGTGCTGCCAATCATAACTAGAGTTATGATTAGCAGCAGGTAATATCATAAATGTAAGCGCTCAATATGAGAAACCAAAAGAACATTGAGCAAAACTATTCGAAAAACAGTATAGAATGCACCCGTATTCAACAATGTTTGAAATATTAATTATCTGAATTATTTTCTCGAAGATTGGTGAAACTATCTCAATGAATTTTTACGATCTCAATGATATGAAAGGGTCGAATCCAATTCGGACACTCGGATGGTCGAATATGTCTATGTCTGTTGAGTAATCATTAAGGAGGAAGAATATATTAAATCTAATCTTTAAAAGATTACTGGGAAAATAATTAGTACCTTACCAATATAATATTTTTATAGATATGAAAGAATATGGGCGCTTATTACTACAAGGCCGTATATTATAATTTAATTTTGACAAAATTTCTAAAAACTTCAATGGTTTTCTTTATTTTAGAAAATTTGCTTTTTGTTAACCGCGCAGGACTATATAATTTTCGAAAAATTGCAATTAAAATCAAAATCACGGAAAAATTTAAAATATTAATGGGAAATTTATCTAGGCCCATAGAAAATTTGGATCGAATTGAAAAGGAAATGTATAAATCACATTACAAACTTTAATAACAATTTTAATAACTAAGCTACACCATTTTCAAATTAAATAAATTTATATTTACTATAGGTTTATAATAAAAAATTGCTCCTCTGGCAATGAATTCTTTTTTGTTTTAAATTTACCAACAATGTGTAGTAAACAAGTATGGCGCCAAAGGGGTAATAACATTTTACTCAAATTAATTTCCTATTGATATTTTAAATTTATTTTCTACATTTTTTTTTTTTTTTTCATAATTATTTAAATTTAAATACCATTAAAAATTTAATTATATTATATTTGCGGAAAATAAAAAAATTAAAAATTAAAATAAAATGTAAAAATAAATAAATTTTTTTTTTATATTATTACCTTTACTAACACCACTTGTTTTGTCCCGCAAAACATTTATTGAATGTACTCTACCAAATTCTTCGAACATTTCTCTTAATTGTTCCTCATCCATTGATTTTGGAACCTGACCGACAAACATTTTTATATTATCCGGATCCGGTTGCTCTTTTTCATTCGAATGATTGATTTCATTTTTAATTTGATTACATGCTTCCACCAAACTATTTTGTAAATTATGTTTCGGACTACATGAATTATTATTGTTGTTGTTATGGTTGCTATTGTTATTGTTGTTATTGCATAGAGTTGCATCATTATTATTCGATATGTTATTATTATTATTATTGTTATTATTATTATTAAGATGATTATTGCAACTCGTTGGACTGCTATTTGAGTTCATAATTAATCCACTAAAAATATAATAGAGAGAGAGAGAGAAAAAAAAATATATGTTATATAATAATATTATAAATATTGTATTGATAAAATTGGTAATAATTAATTTATTAAAATTATTTTATAATAATTAATTTTAGTTATTTTTTTTTCTAAAACAGAATTATTATATTATATAATTATGCGATATATATAAATTATATGGATGTATGTATATGTAAAACGAGTTGAGGGCCTAAATTATTTAATAATAGCTAAAATATAAAAAACATTTTTTGAAGATTATTATTCATATTGTGTGCAATTAATATTAAATTAAGTATAATAATGAACAATAAAAGTATTTGATATTATGGTAAATTATTTTTTTTTTAAATTAAAATATTCATAAATTATTTAAGCTCTTTTAAATAATAATTTTAAGCTGATTGGCTCAGACCACACTGAGATTCATTTTTCAATAACAAAATTTTGATTTCCTTTAGCGTTAGCAGATTCAAACGTTTACCTCAAAAAAATTTCGGATTCAAAAAAGCAGACAGAAATTTCATAACTACAAAACTACAAATGTAATGTATGGGAAAAAGAGACGAAACGTAATATGAAAATTCAAGTAATGAAAGAAGATAACGACTCGTGTATCCATACGGATTAAATAATAAAAAGTAAGTGTTCATACATTTTTTTTTAATTGTGTGTGATTTAGCTTGATTTCAATGAAAATTTATATAGTTTTTGATTAGTCGAAGAAGCAGGATTTGCGCCTAATTTTTGTTTTTTTTTTTCAAATTTCAAAGTAATTAATTTTAAATTGTATATATACTCGTAGATTAGAGAGCAATTACAACATTTAAACTCTCTATATTCCAGTTTATAATCTGACAAAATTTGATAATAGTCGAACAATTCTAAGGGTGTCAAATTATTAGACAATTCTAAATAGGATAAGGAAATGATCTATTGTAAAATTTTTTCCGAATTATTTTTGGAAAAAAATCTTATAATTTCGAAAATGTGATTTTGTAATTTCGAAAATGAGTCCCAATTCGAAATTACAAAATCAAAACCGAAAATTCGTAAGCGGTTTCGCCTTAATACCATTTTCAATTAAATTCTATTTCAATTTGGGTATAAGACATAATTTTATATTTGATCTTATATGATATCCTGTATGCTAGAATATCCTTTATAAAATCAAAACCAAAAAAAGATGAGATTCCATTTTAATGGAATTTAATTTCATAACTAAAATAATGTTATTCCTTTGTTATGTAAAGTTAAGAGAATTTCTTATTTTTTTTGGAAATCCAAAAAAAAAAATAATGAAAATTTTATTTTAAAACAATAAAAAAGAAAAATTCTTATTCAAAAAAAAAAATGCATAGAATTTTCATCCCGAAATTCTATAAAAAACCAAAATAAGAAGAAAGAAAAATGGAACATCTTTTTATACTTTACACAAAAAAAAAATTCCAAAAGTGTTTTTTTTTTTTCACAAGTGTCACTTTTTTTTTCTTAAATTTAAAAATTAAAAACTTTTTCTTTCATTTTTTCATTCATGTTGCACAAAAATTGCATTTTGACTTTATATGGGAACGCATACAAAAAAAGAAAATTTTAAATTTATTAAAATTTAAAACGAAAACTTTTAAATAACACAAAACCATACACACATACAACATGCACACACATACACAAATTCAGACTTATATTAATATTTTTTTTTTATTTTTTTTTTTAAATAAAATAAAAATATAAATGAAAAAGTTAAGAAAACTCAGTAGAAAACTTGAAAAAATTACTATTGCAAATGGTTTTTTTATAAAAAAAAATGGAAAAAAAGAGGTTATCCACACAGAAAAATACAAGAAAAATGGCGGAAATTCCAAGATTTAACAATTTAAAAAATAAAAATAGAAGAAAAAAAAAATATTTAATATACTCTTTTGTTATAACTTATAATTCAGAGCAATAAAGTTAAAAGTTCTTCAAAGTTGACTAAAAAGTATATATCGGAATTCAAGTTTACGACTTTTAGTTCTCGGGAATGTCTAACATACAACACACTAGATATATAATTATATCTATATAGGTATAGACTTCAATTCTGCAATAAATGTATGTATATATGTGTAGGCTGAATTATTATTATGTACATTGTACATTTTATAGGTTGTATGTGTTGTTTATAGATTGTATGTGGTATGTGTTTAACGTATAAGACCGAAATGTATGATTTAAGTCAAAAATTTTTCAAAGTTTTAAGCATGAATTTTTACTTAACCAGGATTTTTGAAAAAGAATTATGGTACTAAATAAAAAATTATATATTTTTTGTTTATCAACATTAAAGCAAAATGTTGAAGAGAAAAAATATGCGTTTTTACCAATAATATTCGGTAGTGAGTACCGCAGAATCAGAGAAGCTTGCAAGTTGCATTGTCAATAATTTATTTCTCACTTAAATTGTTTTGGGTTTTCCGAGTGTCTTAAAGGGCATTTTAACCAAACAACTGGTATTTATTTTACGTACTGAAAGTAAATATAAAAACTTTTTAGAACTACAGCACAATTTATGACAATATGATACACTAATGCGCACACATTACTTCGATATATTTTTCAATTATTTTTTGAAAATCATTTTTGAATTTCTCTAAAAAAAAAAAAAATTATTTATTCAATATAATAAAATTCGATTGTTTTATATTAAAATGATTTATTTAGGCACAAGCACCTATACATAAATAATATTATTACTGTTCTATACATTTTGTTCTACAAGAACAACATTAATTATAATTGAAAAATAAAAATTGAAATTATGAATTGAAATTGGACAAAAAAAAAAATATTTGACTTTGATTACGATTAAAATAATTAATTTAATTGAAAAAGCGAAAATGAGAAGAAAAAATAATTAAAAACGAAAAAAAAAATTATGTGTTTGTGTGTACATACACGAAAGTTTTAATTGAAAAATTTCAAAAAACTTTTTTAATTTAGAAACGTCAGATTTGAAAATAAAAAGGAAGGAATCATTTTTTTTTTTTTGTTTTTGTACACATTTTAGATTTCGGTAATTAAAATAATAAAAATTTCTGCAACCATATGCACATTATATACATATATATCCACACACACATGCAGACCCATGTACACTACTCATATTTACAAAAAATTATACTTTTCATCCGAGTGTTGCCAAATTGATTATTCCAAATATCTTCATTTTTTTTTAAATTAAATCTTCATTTTGAAGATTTGATGAAAAAAAAATCTTCACAAAACTCTTTGAGATCTTCAAATGAAGTTAAATTAAAAAAAGTAGGAAGCCAAAATATCATGATTTCAATCCGATCCAAATCAGACATCAAGCCGTATGCGGATTTAGCTAACACGCCAAACGGATTAATATAGATTTAAATTAAGCGGAGAATATATTGCCTATTAAATTGACTTTTTGGCCACAATACTTTTTGGAGAACTTTGGAAAATATGGAAGAAAAATGGAAAAAATTTCAATTTTGAAAAATTGAAGTAGCATTAAAAAATCTTAATTTTGAAAATAAATCTTCACTTTTGGCAGCACTGTTTTCATCAAAAAATTTTTAATTTCAACTATCTATGTATGTATAATAAATAAACTTGTTGGAATTAACAACAAAAATTTTAAAATTTTGATAAAAAAAAAAAACTGTTTAATTCAGTTTTTAAAACATTGGAAATAGAATCCATATAAAATATTTTTAATTTGGACTCTCTTCATTCTCTATTTTTAATTCATCATAATGTACATATTATGTATATAGCAATGTACTTATGCATATTTTATGAAAATGAAATGTATAAGAGTTTTTCTATTAGAATGCTTTTCTACCTGATTAGATTTTTATAAAATAATTTTCATAGAGAGAAAACAAAAAAGAATCTCTAGAGAGTACACAAAATTCAGTATTCTCTCTCTCTAAATCAAAGTTTACGAAAATTTTAAATTAGAAATTTTGAATTCGGAATTAAAAATGTGTACACTGTGATTCAAAAAAAAAACAACTTAAATTAATTACTCAGGTTAAAGTACTTTATTTGGTATAATTAAGATTTATGTCGAAATTGTTATACAAATATTAATTAAAATTAATATTAATTAACAAGCAAGTTAAACAAAAACTTAAAAAATTTAAGAAATTTAATTAAATTAAGAATAAATTCGGTAAGAACATACATGCAATTTTTAGTTTTGTAATTGCTTGATCTGTAGTTTTATTTTCAAGCTTGCATTTATGCAACTGTATGATCGCATTCAATTAAGCAATCAAAAAGTTTTTAATTTTTTTACAAACTAATTGTAATTTAGTGATTTCAAATAATTTAGTTATTTTAGTAACAGTAAAACAGTTAAACAGTAATTGCAAAACTCAAAAATTACATGTCTGCCAGAACCATGTCTGGGAGTTTCTTTTTTCGTAAATACCTCAACGCGTTATATTTAAATTCAAGAGTTTATTTAATTATTATAATAGGATTTTTAGATTGATTTGCCTTCTAAACCAGAAACAAAATTGTATTAAAGGAAATCTTAATTACACAAAACACAATATTTATTGTAATATTGACATACACCGTCATGATTATAGTTGTTTGTTTGTTAAAATGAGAACGAGCCTATGGTTGCAAATAGCAATTATATAATATGATTATAATTGCGAGTTTAAGATTGTGTAAAAAAAATCTCATTAATAAAACAACATTAATATAATTTGAAATTAATATATGAAAAATATTTTGTTATTTTCATCCCACCCTATATTATTTACCTGTTTAGCAATTAATAAAATGTCAAAATTTAAAACAGTAAAATAACATACAATAACAATAATATTTAATTCTTTCTCATTAATAAGATTATTATAAAACAACAATTCAAATCAATTACTCAAATACCGTTGTAAAACTCTCATTCTCTCTGAATATAACATAAACAGTAAAAAAGCATATTTACTCATATACATAT